GCTCCATCCACGGTGACCAGCACTGTTAGTCCCGTTCAGATGTTTTCCTCCTCATATAGCTGTGCCCCGCACTATCAATAACTTCATAGAGATCCTTTTCCTTCTCCTATGTTGCATGTACATAACCAATATAAGCCACATACAGTGGTATTAATCAAAGCCATTACAGGTCTGTTAGGATTTATGAAGAGCTGTGGCTTCCCAGCTCAAAATAAAGTTGTGGGAGGACCCCTCCGAGCCCTGGGTTTCCAAAGTCTTTCTCTTTGGGCAGTTCCTTCCTATTTTTTTTTAAATTATTTTTTTAATTTTTTTATTGTTCAAATACATTCTTCTCCATTTTCCTGCCGCCATTTTCTCCTGCTCTGTCCACCCCCACCTTCCACCCTCAATCCTTCCCCACTTTGGCTTTGTCTGTGCATCTTTTATGCATGTTCATCGACTTGACCCTTCCCTTTCTTTTCTCCCTTAGCTTCCTCCCTCCTCCCCTCTCATTACTGTCGGTTTGTTTTTTCTTTCAATGTTGCTGGTTTTATTTTTCTTGCTTATTTACTGAGTATTGTATGATTTACTGAGTTTTGTTGATTAGGTTCCACTTATGGGTGAGATTGTGTAGTATTTGTCTCTCACCCCCTGGCCTATTTCTCTTAGCATAATGCTCTCCAGTTCTATCCATGCTGTCAGGAAGGGTAGTAGCTCGTTCTTTCTTTCTGCTACATAGTATTCCATTGTGTAAATGTACCATAGTTTTTTTGATCACTCACTCACTGATAGGCACTTGCGTCTTTTCCAGCACTTGGCTATTGTAAATTGCGCCGTTATGAACATTGGGGTGCACAGGTTATTTTGAATTGGTGTTTTGGGATTCTTAGGGTATAATCCCAGCAGTGGAAAGCAGGAGGCTCAGGTGCTGAAGACACCTAGACTAATGATGATTTATGAGGGGCGGCGGGCTCCTGGTGTGAGGGGCAGGCAACAGGCCCTGTGTGGTCAGAGGGGTCCATGACCTGGCTCAGGGCGCCCCTGGAGTGGCGAGGGTTCAGGGTGCTCTACCGAACTCTGACGTGTCCCAGGGACCTGGGAGTGAGGCCTGCGCGGCTGCAGGGCTGGTGAAGGCCAGGCCTGCCGTAACCTCCCTCTTCTTTCCTTGGTCTGCCCAAGGGTTTGTCAATTTTGTTGAAATTTTCAGGATTTTTTAAAAATACTTACTCTGTTGCCTAGTGTTGTTGTATTGCTGTTAATCTTATCTTTATTCTTTTATTATTTCTATTTACTTTGACTTTTGGTCTCCCTATTCTTTTTTCTAAAAAAGAATCTTAAGTTACTGATTTTGTTTTTATTGTTTTTTCTAAATATGAACATTTAAAGCAATAAGTTTCCCTGTGAACATTGTTTTGGTAGCATCCCACATATTTTGGTATGCTGTATTCTTGTTATTCAGTTTAACATATTTTCAGATTTCATCTTCAATCCATGAAATTTTCAGGAGTATGGTTTTTGCTTTCAAAATATTTGAGATTATTGATTTCTAATTTAATTCCATTGTGTTCAGTGAACATTCACTGTATCATCTCAATTCTTTAAAATTTACTTACTGAGTATTGTATGATTTGGTAAAAATGATGTACTTGAAAAATTTACATTCCGTGGTATTATTGGGTATAGTATTTGATAAAAGTCAATTAGGTTGATGTGGTTGATATGGCTGTTTAAATCTTCTGTGTTTGCTATTTTTTTCCCCTAAATATTTCACCAAATGCTAGTGAGACAGATGTTAAAGACAGTAAAGATAGATCTCTTACTGTGATTGTGGAATTGTCTAATTTTTCCTCTAATTTGTCATTTCTTCCTACCTGTGTATTGACTTTTTGTTAGGTGCCAGCATATTTATGATTATTGTGTCATCCTGAAGAATTGTTCCACTGTGAAACGTCTGTTTTATATCTGGTAATGTTATTCGTCTGTAAGTCTATTTTATACAGTGTGGATATTATCCTCCCAATTTTCATTTGCTTACTATTTGTATCATGTTCCATCCATTTTTTTCAATACATCTGTGCTTTCCTATTTAAAATGCATCTCTTATAGGCAGCCTTTTATGGTGCTTTTTTGTTTTTTATCCACTGCGACAGTATCTGACTTTTAATTAGATTATATCATTAACATTTATAATTATTTATATACTTGGATTTATGTCATCCATTTTATTATTTTTTCTGTTTTGTCTCCTCTATTTTTTGTTTGTTTTGTATTTCCCCTTTCTTTTCCTGCTTTTCTTAGTTTATTAGAATGTTTTAGCATTCTACTCTACTTATATGTTGCTATACCTGATTACAGCTATATATCATCATAGCTATATCTTACCACAGTTTTTAAAATACTTTTTTCCTAGGGACAACAATATATATCCCTAATCTTCCCCAGACTACTTACATTTTATAGTGTATCATTTTATGTAAAATTGGATATCTTGCAATTGTATAGGTCTTTTTAATACCTAATTTACTACACACACACACACACACACAGAGTCATATGTATTCCAACTGCATACATTGAAAACCTGACAAGACAATGTTATAATTTTTATTTTAAAGTTGTAAGTATTTTATAAAACTTGAGAAGAAATATTTACCCAGATATTTACCATTTCTAAAGCTTTTCATTTGTTCCAGAAGGTCCAAAGTTTTCTTTGGAAACATTTCTTTTTAGCCTGAAGAAATATATTAAACATTTCTTGTACTCAAGTTCTGCCGGTGACATATTTTGTTGGTGTTTCTTTGTCTTAAAATTTCTCATTTCACTGTCATTCCTAAAGATATCTTTCACTTGGCATAGAATTTTGCATTAACAGCTTAAAAAAAATTCAGTACTTTAAGGCTATCATTCCACTGTCTCTGTCTTTCATGGTTTCTAATGAGAAACCTGTAATTATTTGCATTGCGATTTAAATATATGTATAGCATCTTCTCCTCCCCTTCCTCCTGCTCTTCCACCTTCTTCTCCTCCTTCTCCTTCTCCTCCTCCTTCTTCTCCTGACCTTCGCAGTTAGAGCTGTTATACGGAAAAACATGATTTTTGTTGAGTTTTCCTTTTCGCGGGTTTTCTGGCCTTCAATATGTATTTTTAGGACACTCACATAACTTAAGTTTGTGGCCATTTTAAATTTAACATTTTTCCCCTGCCCCCATTTTCTCTCTCTTTTTCTCCGAAATGGAACTAGTGCGTAGAGGCAATTACATTTGCCTCTCCTGCTCTTCATGGTGGGCAAAAAGGGCCATTATAACAAATTTCTTTTGCTGCATTATTTGGCCTAGAGTGGGTTTGGTTGGAGGTTATTCTTTCATTTTGTATTGGTCAGAGTTTTACATTTTTCTCTTTTTAAGATTTTATTTATTTATTTTTAGAGAGAGGGGAAAGGAGTGAGAAAAACATCCATGTGTGGTTGCTTCCCGCACACCCTGCTGGGGACCTGGCTCGCAACCCAGGCACGTGCCCTGACTGGGAATGGAGCTGGTGACCCTTTGGTTCTCAGGCCGGCACTCAAACCACAAAGCCACACCAGCCAGGGCCAGAGTTTTACATTTTTCAGGTATAAGTTTCAGAAATAAAGGAAAATGTGGAAAATTTTAAGAGAATTTAAAAATAACCAGTGACAACGGAAAAACCAGAAAAAGAAGGCGCTGGCTGTAAGTTAGAAGCAGTGAGCACATGAAGCCTGGACAGAGAACAGCTTCTGAGGGAAACCAAGCAATGCTGGCCGACCTGCCGGGTGGCCGGGGGTGTGGCTTAGGCTGTTCTGAAAATGGCAACTGAGGGGTGTACAGGGAGAATTTCCTCGCGCTGGGTGCATTTCCTCATGCTACCTGCATAGATCATGAAAGGAGCTTGTGAACACAAATTTCTTGCTAAGATTTTAAAAATAAAATAGTTTTCAATGGGTCTAGGATAGTTTATATGTGGTGCCTACAGAACATGTCAGTGCTGACTCTGTTGGTCTCTCAAGGTCATTTCGACCCTGTCATTCTATGATTCTATAATTAAAAAATGAATGAGAAGATCATTTAATTAACGTTACAATTACATTTGCCTGAGGTATGCTTATATCCCTGGCATTTCTGAAAAGTCATAGATGTGGTTTCCTTGAAAAGACCCTTTTGGGAAGTAGTTAGAGGTGGTCTTGCTGAGTTATCAAAGAATTGTCAGCCTTTTGGCATCATTGAAAGACTGGTTTGTTTATCATAAGACAATGCTTGATAGAAAATTAGTAATCATACACACTAACATGGCAAGAGATCAACTGCTTTGCTTTTGGCAGGAGCTAATGATATTTTTTTTTGCAAGAGCAGCATAATGCATGATTTGCCTTCCATTTTTTACAAAATAAAAATTTGCATACATTTCTGCAAGAGTGAGCCATAGTATTGAAGAAAAACCAAGAATCATCTGAAACAATTGCTTAGCATAAATAAAAAAGATTGGATGTAACACAGCACAACAAAAAATAATACTAGGCCTGCCTCATTGCACTGAATTTCTGCAGAGCATAAAACTTTCATCTGAAAACAAAGCAGCGGAAATAATAAATGGCTACCATAAATTAAAACTGGTGCAATTACAAGGGGGCATCCCCAAAATAATTCCTCTGTATAGAGTATGTTCTTATTGTATTGGAGGATCTCTTTGTTGTTGTTCTACAAAAACAAATGCCACCCTCCAAATTCAGGAAAATATTTTTGATGTGCATTATTATAATAGGCTATTGAACTAAGACTCTAAGGCTTTGCAAAGTAGAGAATCTGACATACTCTAATACAATAAAGCTGAAGTTCTCTTATTATACAAAGCTCTCTTTTTCTACATTCAAATGATTTCCCAGTGATGCACTTACATCCAGACTCATTATAACATGTGTATTATCCCTATTACTATGGTTAGGAGGTATAGTTGTATTTCATGGAAGGGAAGGAGGTCATAGCCATTGTTCCCCCCCCCCCCCCCCACACTGTACTAGGTTAGAATGGACCACCTCTGTAGCTTCTGAGGCTAACACATTTCCATCATCATAGTTACTTTAGCAAATCTGGTTCCTCTCACTTCTGCAACATCATGCAGAGATAATGATCCAGCTTGTACCATTGCCATTGTTCAAAACAGCAGCCTGAGAGGTGTGAAACAACTCCTTTAGTCATCCAAAGAAAAAGCATCGGTTCATTTAGTCTAAATACATTTGGAGTTCACCCCTGTTTAATTACTCGAATTTTCATGATGACTGATATTGCACATATTCCTCCAATGATGAAAATTTATCTTTTCTGAACTTTACTCCTGAATTATATACCCACAGGGGAATTTGTTTAAGGAGTATTAAAATCTTTCACTTGGAAAACAGAACAAAACTTCTATAATCACTATTTAAAAAAAAACAAACAGCAAAAATGAGCATATTGACATGTCCTATTATCAATTTCTGCTTTCCAATTCAAATTTGCTGTTGACTCTGCTGGAATGTCAATATAAAATATGTCTCCCTCCTACTTACATAGAGATGACTTTTGATGTACAGTGGGTTTTTAAATGATGGCTTCAATCTTTCATCTGTAGCTAGAATGTCGATTCTCTATAGACTCTATAGACTCTATGGAGTCTATTTCATATGGGCCAGGTTGTCATGTGACTTCCCAAACAGACAACTCTGTGGAACTGAGCCAGCAGCCCTGTCTCACACACACACACACACACACACACACACACACACACACACACATTTTCTGGATCATCAGCAAATATTGTGGCTGCTTCCCCTTTAGTCACTGTTTATTGGCTTAATAAAATTGGGAAGATTGTCAATGGCCCAAAAAGAGAAAGCAGGAAGAAAAATAAGAAACCAATATGAAAATAATTTAAGCAAGTGCAGGGTGGGGCAAAAGTAGGCGTACAGTTGTTTGTATGGGAAATAAGACTGTAATTAATAAATGATAATAATACAAGAATAAACTCTGTGTTTTGTGTACTCACAACTGTCAACCTACTTTTGCCCCATCCTGTATTTTTGTTCTTTTAAGTAGTCTCTCAAATCAGTCTTCACCATTGGCTTTTGCATGGGGTAGTTTTTCTGGTAATATTTTATATTTGAAAGAACTAAACTAATTCTAATTTTTGTATATTTGGAACAGTGAGAACTCAACTACTTGGAAACTCAACATAAATTTCCGTGATAAATGGTGACTTTTTTTTTTTTTAGAAAAAAAAATAAGAAAAGCTGGTAAATGTATGTGCAAAAACATTGTATAGGCTGTCTTATGGGGAAAGTAGAAATGTAGGCTAATTATGACTACTTAGCCTTTCTTCACATTTGGTTATAATGTAGTGGGAGATACGGAGAACTATTGCTTCATTTTTTAAGTGACTTTCACTACCTTGTCAAGTCCTGGCATATGGCCGATAGTTGTAGCTTGGTCATTTCACACCTGAAAAAATGTAGGGTCCCCATACCTTCCTTGCCTGTAACTCTGGAGTTAGCATAAAAGGGAAATACATAGACTCCGAGCTTTGGGAGAAATAAAAATTAATTCTTCTTTGGAAAATGTTGGGCAACTTAAATTTTCTATAAGAAGCTATAGTAAAATGACAATCTTGAGATACTATAAGAAGGCTATTACATTTTTTGCATTTCCCAGGGAGGAATGTTTTCATTTTTAAGGTAGAAAATAAAGACTTTTAGAGGTTGTATTAGTTAGAATCGCAGCAAAAGCAGCTCCTGGATGGGAGTGAAAAAGTTAGAAGGTGATCCAAAGAGTGTTGTGTAGCAGAGGAGAAATGAGGGATGGGGGGAAAGGCCAGTAAAATGTGTTTTAGTGAGTCATCCTTGCATTGGGCAGTTGGAGCTTCAGTCTGATGAGGGCCCTCATAAACACTGTGAAACACACCTCAGAGTGGACCTGCTGTAGGGTCAGGATGATAGGAGGGTTACTCTTGTGACACTGACTTCCTAACACTTCTGCCCTCCCGCAGGTATGAGCCAGGCACACTCCTGTGGCGATATAAACCATCTGATAAACAGGTGCATGGAGCGGTGGTATGTACAAGATCTGTGTGCAGGGTAGCTCTGATACAGGGTGAAGGGACATGGGCTGGGCACCACCAAGTACATATTGCTATGTATTAAAGGGAAATAACATCTATAAAGCTGAAATTCTATACACTTATTGTAACAGCTAGGGCTCAATCAGGAAGACTGAACCAACTGATATGGGAATAGGGAATTGTTTTCAAAGTCTATGGAAGTCTGTTGTTTCCGGTGTGGTGGGATACCTGAGTTTGCTGCAGGTTGCAGGGACAATACTAAGAAAGAAAAGCTAGACAGGAAATAACAACAAACAGGGACAAGTCAGAAAATCCCAGGGCACTTTGGAACTGATGAGGAGAAACCAGAACCTGTGTCTGTTTTGTACCACTTCTGACTTCAACAACAAAGGTGTCCTACAGAAGAAGCGGGTACTTTTTGCCAAAGAGCAGCACACGCATCTGGTCCCAGACTAGAGAAGCGAAAGGAGGGGAGGCTGCAGGAGTTCAAGGAGCTGTGGGCACAGCTGTTGAGTCCTGCCAGTGAAGTGGACCAGAAAGCCAGTGCCAATGCGCAGGAAAGCTGGCTGTGCTGGGGCTGACTGCCACGTCTCCCACAAATCCCTCCTTACACCCAAACTATAAAGAGGAGGGATTTCTGGTCATCCCACTAGGTTTACATAGTGAAGAACCACCACATCCATATTATATTGGCTGATTTCTATTTGCTAGGAAGGGCAAGTAAAATGTACATTCATAAAATCTAGGAGCTAAATCAACTTGACGGTTCCTGATATTATTTTAACTCTCAAACTTAAAAGCTTTTTAGAAGTTTAGAGACACTTCAGTAAAATAATTCCTTGAATTAACCTTTAACAAAATTTATTGCACTGTTATCTTATGGTATAGATAATCCAGGTTTTATTTGATTAGGTGTACGCTGTGTGTGTGGAAGGCAAGGGGATGTTTGTCTGTCTGGGTGACTCATCAAGGCATGAACTTTATATTTCCCCTCAGTTTTCTCCCCCACCAGAAAAGTAAAAATCTGATTCTCTCATCGTGTAAGCTTGAACTAGTCACAAAAAGGTAAACAGAAGAGGGTCATGAAGCATGTTGGTCATTTTAGGGCACTTATTTATTTAATCCATCATTAGACTTGTACTTTTAATGGTTGGCTTTTATAGGTTTAACATGGCTTTAAGTAATGGTTTAAAGATGTTCTTGTTGGTTGAACAACATTTTTGGAAATTAAATGTCAAAGGACCCAGAGCAAGAGCATGTTTTTCTTCTAACTCAAGTTGGAAAACATTGTGAAATTCTTGGGCCCACAAGAAACCTAAAGGTCAGACCTAATTATTTTGGTTCCTTTAGTATTTGACTTACGGAGCCCCCAAGGGGGCGGTGAGGGTCAATGCTGACACAGGACACGGGAAAGCTCAGAGTACATACAGTCGTGTATTGGAAAGGGCTTGAATTCACTCACACGACCTGATTGTGGGCAATGCTCCCCGCTTCCAGCTTGGTGACATCATACTGGTAGCTTGAACCAATACGGTGGAAGTAGTGGGTTGGCCAAAAAGTTTGTTTGTTTTTTTCCCCATAAGATGGCTCTAGTAGTGCTTAGTTGTCTTTAACTTGTTTGAAACAATTTTGTTAGATTATGTTGTGACAGCTGTCACATCACTGGATGTTACAAAAAAAAAAACTTATCAAAATTGGTGAATTTTTGTGTAGCCATTTTAATATTGGAGATGGAAGAAAATAAGCATATTATGCTTATTATTTCAAGAAAGGTAAAAATGTAACTGAAATGCAAAACAAGAGAAAGATTTGTGCAGTGTTTAGAGAAGGTAAGTGACTGATCCAAAGGGTCAAAAATGGTTTGCGAAGTTTCATGCTGGAGATTTCTTGCTGGACAATGCTCCACAACCGGGTAGACCACTTGAAGTTGATAGTGATCAAATCAAGACGTTAATAGAGAACAATCAACGTTATACCACACAGGAGATAGTGAACATACTCAAAACATCCAAATCAATAAAATTATTGGTGAAAATGAAAAGTGTATCTTTTATTTTACGGAAAAAAAATATGGACTTCTTAGCCAACCTGGTGTTTACACGGCAGAACTTGAAAGACCCTGCAAATTGGGAATCTCTCCACTCTTCCCACCACTACTAGCCTGAGAGCTGATTGTTAAACTTTCACCACTGGACAAACATGTTTGAGATTACCTAGTTGCTTCTCTCCTTCCCTATTTTGGGCAGACCTTTTTATTCACAGGATACTGACAGGGGGTTGATGAATGAATGCTTCATTCTATGTTTTGTTTTTAACCATTTGTAACTCTCCCCCAGAGACTGGAATCCAGGCAGCTTGCAGATCTTGGTTACCACTAATATTCATTCCCCATTTACTACATAGCCACAATGTGCAGGTGCTGGGTTAGGTGCCAGGGATACTATAATGATTATGACCAACGTGGCTCTTGTCTTCATGGGATTTACATCCCCAGAGGCTGCCAACCCTGGCACTATTGACATTTTGGATGGATGGCTCTTCGTTGTGGACAGTTTAGTAGCATTCCAGACCTCCTTCCACTAGAGGTCAGTAGCAACCCCTCAGTAGCAACTGATTTTCAGTTGTGAAAATCAAAATCAAAACATTGCTGAATGTTCCCTAGGGGGAAATAAATTTTTAAAAACTGCTCTGGTTGAGAAGCTCTGTGATAAAAAACCTGTTACATAATGGAAGCTAATTGTACAAGGGAAGCTGCCATTTGAATATGTCCAATTGTTATTTCCGTTTTACAGGTGGAGAAACTGAGGCATTCAGAGAGCAAGTAAAACATTGCTCAGTAAAACAACTTTTAAGTAGTCAGAGTAGATTATAACTCATGTATCATTGACTTCACAAGTGATTCTCCAGTTGAACAAACAGAAAAACAAAAACAAAACCAAAATGGGCCAGGTAGCAGAAATGGTATAATCTGGGAGAAAAAAATGGATGACCAAGAACAACAACATTGGTCACAGATTTTTAGAGAAGTTATTTTAAATGCTTATTAAACA